CTTGTGAATCGAAGCAAACATGTAGGAGGCTACTGCTTGTGAATCAAAGCAAACCTATAAGAGGCCATATGCCCAAATGAAGCTTGTGGACCAAAGCTTGCTCGAAGGGGACCCAATGCCCAATCGAAGCTTGTGGACCAAAGCTTGATTGAAGGGGACCAAATATCCAATCAAAGCTTGTGGACCAAAGCTTGATCGAAGGGGACCAAATACCCAATCGAAGCTAATTAATCAAAGAAAACTTGCTCTTCTTTGATTTGATGCTTGAGAGCCCAATATGGTCCAAGGAAACTTGTGCAGTCTTGATCCAGTAGCAATTTTGTGAGAAAAATATTGAGAAATGAGAGGGCAAATTTTGGGGAACAACACTCAGAATCATAACTTTTCTCCTTACTATGTTGTATTAGTAATTTATCTATATGGTACGACATTTTTTCACCTATAACTATTATCTTTTTTGGCAAAAGTAAAATTGAATCCAATAATAATTTCTATATTTTAGCTTCTAATCAACATCCATTTCAGATTTATTTCACAAAATTACAATTCATTTAAATACCAACCATAACTGATAGTGATACGACATACCAAACAAAACATTAATAAGGCCAATGCAAGATGATTGCATTTCTATTTACCAAATTTCAAATCCTAAAGCATTACCAAATTACACAATACATTCATTACATTCATAGTTCTTTAATAGCAATTTCAAAAAAAATTCTAAACTATCTTCTTAGGCATATCCAAAAAAAAACCTAATATAACTCCTCTTACTTCTACGTCCGGACACTTCTTTGCCAAAATAATTCTTCAATTTTTCAAAACGGTAACAACAATATTTTTGTCTGGAGGGTCGCTAAGTCTAAAAGCAGCCTTATCATTTGTCTTTAGCCACCTGTACCTGACAAACTCATTCCAACCACCACCTAAAAACTTTTCAACATAATGCTTCCTTTCTACTACACGAAGCTCACAATCATAGCTATTTCCAGTGCTCGAATCAACCATCTTTACACGTATATTAGACTTGTGCATAAAGTTCTTTATCACCTTATGAGAGATTTGCTATAAAAAAAAGGAATTGCCTTTCATTATATCATATTATATAACATATATAATAATAATAAACAAATTTCGGTCTCATGGATCTACTTACAAACATATTTTCATTCGGTTTCTTGCCAGCTTTTTTCCCCTTTTCCATGTAGTATAGCTTGGGTTGTTTGCCAGATCTACATCACTATCCTCATCCTCAGAACTGCTAAACCATTAAATATAACTTTAACCCTATAATTCTTAAACTACATTTAATAAGCACACTATTTTTTTAGTTATATTTTTACATATTTGTCAGTGTCAGAAGAATTGATATGTGTAAAGTCTCAGCACCACAATCGTGTTTCACTCTCTTAGCATAACATTTACCCTTACATTTTTCAATGATTTTTTTAACACTTGTGTTTGGTTTATCAACATCATTTGGCTGTTCATTGGAGGGTTCAACAGATATTGCATTCTTACACTTATAGTCTTTATCTCTATGACCTTCCTGGCACTCATTTAAAGATGAACCTCCCTTTTTTTCCTTTAACTTTGACACCATATACAACACAATATATATTGTTATTATAATTGGTATGTGAAACATCAACAACCAATGCACCATCTTCTTTTTCTTTACCTTTCTGAGAAACATGAAAATGGCTTCCAAGTCTTCCTTTTTCGGCGTTCTTCAGTTCTACCTTAGCAAAATGTGCCTCTTCCATATCCCGACGAATTGCTTTTTCTATCCACATTCTTCTCCAAATGGCTTCTGCCTGCAAATCCTCAATGGATCTGAAAATATTTTACACACGGAAATGAAGCATATCATTATAACTACAAAACCACTTACTATTACAACAACATACAGTTCAAGGAATAAATTATTATACCTTTCAATGAGGCTGATAGGATTGGTGCTGGACATAGTTCGATGGAATAAAAAAGGCGTTGACCTTGAAAAACATAATTTTTCCCTCGCTAAGAACTTTTAACAAAATCTAATGTATGTTGTCAACCTGCTCTCTTCAATATATGATATTTATATTTTAAAAAACGGTATCCTACTTCTATTATGCCCATCAACTTAATATATTGGGCCCGAGACCCATTCTATCATGACTTATACTTATCCAACATATAAAAGTCTTATCAAAACAAATTGACTTCAACCATCAATATTTTTTAGTTTATAAACTTTGTTTTGTACCTTAATGTTAAATATGAATTAATGTTGCATATTTTCAGACAATGCTCATAATATATATTTTTAATCAGCAGTGTTGCAACAAAACATGTTTGAGCATATATAATGTTCCTTACTAATTAACAACATCAATATTTAAACACAAAACCAACAAAAAAACAATATAACACCATCCAACTAGCATTGCATTCCTTCCGTTACGAAACTTTTATATTTCTTAACCAACGGTTGATCTATTCATGACACTTACGGCAACCCTTTGAACATCAGGATCAAGCCTCTTTGATGGCTGATCACGAGTACAAAAAGTTAGCTTATCCCCTTTTCAAGATTTATGTCATTTGCATAATCATACCATCCCTTTCCAATTGACTTCTCCACACATTACTTTCTTTTAGTATAATGCAGTTGATCCTTATATATCTTCTTATTGGAATCTTGAAGTTCGACACATTTATGATCCACTTGCAGACAACTCTTTATAACTTCTTGGGGAATTTGATGCACATCAAAAACATCTTACATTACACAAATACAATGGAATAACAAACATTTATATGTCTTATAAAATTAACATGAATGTGACGATACTTACTAAAATATTTCTGACAGTTGTCTTCCCAGAATTGATTTCCTTTGTCCAAAGGAAATATATATGACCATTTTTGTGTTTGATTGCCACATGGTCACGACGACAATTTTTTGTAACAGCTGACACCGTTTTCTCCTTGTTATTAGGAAGTTTTGGATTTGATCCCCTACTTTCACTCACCAACATACAGGGAAATATGGTAATCCTAATTTATCGTCTCTACTTCCTGCAACGAATGATAACGATATTCATAATCTTTACTAAACGTTTCTTACCTCTAGCCTTCATTCAAAGCTTGACCCAAACTCCCATTTCGAGTATGACATTTTGCATCTTCACAACGATTCTCTCTCTTTGCTTTTCTGTTTGCGTCTTCTCTGCCACCGCCTCCTCGACTCTTCAACTTCAAACACTGGGAAGTGGAAATTTCTCAATTTTGTTTCCAATCTTCTTTAAATTGGATCTTCTCCAATGTTGCAGTTAACAAACTGACTCTGGACAGTCTCTTCCATTCCATATTTGGATGAAGTTGTTTGAACCCTCTGACAAATAACACTAGAAAAACAACATGGATGACGAAATCTATAATAACAATTTCATGAATTAAACATGCAAAGTATCCAAAATCATTAATCTTACCTTTGACGTCCCCTAACCGCACCTCTGATCGTCATTTTTAGATGGAAAGCTGACACTTGCAGTGGCTTTTCTTCGATAACACAAAGACTTCCTCAAGCGTTTCCACTACTTCTTATTATCCACCCTTCATTTTGGACCGGTATACTTATTCTTGACCCAAATGATTTTGACATTTAGATATCCAACATTGTTTTCATTACAATTTTCGGTCCATAATTATTTAATGATATATTCTACTGCTTATATTATGTTAATAAATTTCATTACATAATTTATTTTATTTTTCATATTTTATTATCTTTTTTAAACGTATTTTTTTAAAATTATAACTATTTATGCTTAAAAAAATTATTCACAACTTACTTTTTCAATATTATTTATTGTAATTTAAAAACTTTAATTATTTCTATCTTTCAATTTCTTATTTTTGTTCATATAATTTTTTCCATTATATCCTATTAACTAACTTTCTTTTTAACAGTTATTAACAATTACTAAATACTAATATCAAATTAATTTAAATATTACATTTTATATTTATAAAAAAAAATTTAAACTTATTTTTCTAATGAAACAATTAAAACGCTTTTCTTTTAACATAATGTGCGTACCGTACCATAAACGCTATTCTTCAAATTAAAAATTTTATGATTGATATAAATATTTTTATAAGAAAAAATTTACTATTAATCCATATATTTAAACAAACATAATTTAGATATTTAAGAAAAAAAATCTTATATTTATTTAATTATTTTTATATACAAAATTTATGATCAAAATATTCATGATACAAAAAATGGTTTTAATGAAAAAATGGTTTATTACTCGTTATAATCAAAATTTGAAACATCCAAACAGTAATAATCTATAAACAAATTTTGACTTTTTTATATGTTAATAAATTATTTATTGTGTTGTTAAAAATGTGCAAAAAGATTTAAAGCCGTTACATCCTACTTATTGCAAAGACACCAGAAATAAAATAGATCACTTGTTTTTGAACAAGAGTAGATCTTTACAATATGAAAATAATTATCAGTCATATAAATAATTTTCTTATTATTACGTACATGTATTTTAGCAATAATCTTTGTTAACGCAATTTTAATGACGTTCAACTTAGTTTCACACAAATTTAATGATATTAAACTCACGAACCCCGCCAAATGATGTTTCACAAATAGACAAATGTTTCCCATCAGTCATAGTAATTCCATTCTCATTCTAGTAATCAACACCAAAATAGCTTAATCATAAAGCAAAATGATTCAAACCATTAGAGCAGGCTTCACATGAGTGATATTAGTGCAACATGAGTAGAGGATAACAGAGCTGCAAGTATAGTGTGAAGCATTCAATATTACCATGATTGATATCATGGTAATAAGACTATTTCCCAAAGCCCTCGTTGAGATTTCCTAAAACAAAATTTGGGTCTTAACATCTATGTTAACTGTACACCCAAGAGATATTTACACTTTAACTAGTCAATCAAAATGTATTTACTGTTCCACCTCAACAGAAGAACATGGAGGTCCTGACATTCTTATGCAACCTAGGAAGCTCTGGAATGGGGATGTTACTCTCTGATAAATCATCGAAATTCAGAAACTGTGCCATTTGAGCTGCAGCATGGTGGGCATAGCATATAGGTGCCACTGAAGAAAAATGTATGAAATTAATTTATAAAACAAAACAAAAAAATCAAACATTGTCATGCAAAATACAACTCTGATGCCATACCAATTGAAGTTGCAGTAGTGCTCCTTTGGTTCCTAAAATAAGTTTTAAAAAAAAAAGTAGTAAGATTGACTATTTGGGGGTAGATCTAACACGATATATAAACAAGAGGTTGCATGCCTACACGTAAGATAGCGAATTTATCAAATTTTGCAAGCCATCTGGCGAGAATCCAATTTCATCAAGCAACACATGATAATGTACAGGCCTAGACGTTCCCTATTATAGAGAGAGGAAAAGAATAAAAGGCGCATTAAAAGTTAAAACATCAGCACTTCAACTGGCAGTGAGATATTTCAGTGGTATCACAAGCTCTACTAATGCTTGTAAAATGAGTATGACTGATCGGAAAGTGAGGAAAGTAGATGGTAAAACTTACAATCATTCCAGCATGAGCGCACATGTAGAAATCATAATTTTTTGGATGCACAATTTTTGTGTCGACAACTGTCCCTGTAGAGGAAAATTTACGATAAAATGTTGCTGTGTTTGTTATATATAAGACAAAATAGTAGCATACCAGGAGGAACGTTTTCCAGAGCATTAGCTTGAAACATCTTTGTATGGTGATTTTTCTGTGCCACAATTACAGTGAACTTGGGAACATCATCCTCCCCAATATGTTTATAAGCCTGTAATTACAACAGTTTATCATCACCCTAAAACTAATCAGCCAAGAATGTCATTTAATAAGATTAGCGAGTCAGCTAGGATCTTTTGGTAAATTTGGGGCTTATTTTGTTTTAAAAAAGCTTGAAACAAAACAAAAAGGCTATATAGAAAGCTTTTAGTTATTGTTTCCTACAAAATAACTATACCCAAATAGATGTAAGGAACAGTTTTTGACTAACTTTAACGAGAGAAACAGCCAATGAAATTGATAAACTAAAAGGGAGGGGTTGCACATAACCTTTATTATCTGGTTAACCTCTATATTCAACACCTGGTTAAATTGTGATTCACTAACTCCATCCCTGCACAGGAAAAGACACCGGAGGGTGAATAAAAATCTTACAAGAGATAAAGGAAGTTGAAGCCACCGAAAGTGAGTTCATTTTCCTGAAAACTAATAAGTCATAGCCACTCGTCAAATACTAGCACAGCATAAACTAATAATTAGATGCCAATAACTGAATATTAGCTTCCTAGAAATAGACACCTAATATCTATGTATTATTTGTTACTAATTTGAGTAGCAAGTAATCAGATATGTATTGAAGCGCTTGGGGAACACTCCCTTAAAAACTAGATAACAAGGCAGAAGAGTCAGACCACTTAAAACACTCATACTACTCGATGTGGAACTTAGGCGGCTCATAAAACCAAAGTCAGTGTCATCATGTGGTTGCATCTGTGGTCACAAGAATAGACTTCCATCTCAAGGAGCAGTCCTAGTTGCACTGGATGTTTTTAGCAACAATAGCTTACAAACCACCAACCTTGCCAATGATCTGGAAGGAATTTTGATAACTACAGACCTTAAACACTAATCAACCACATATTTACTATTTAGCATATAAAATCCCCCATTTTACTTGGTTGATTAGTCTGAACCGTGCTTTAGATAATTGCATGTGTAACAATGAAAACTTGTTTCCTGCTTTACTTAATTATTATACAAATATTTTAAAACAGAAACATGAGTGGAAACAATGGACAGTCTTACAATTAAAAGTAAAAACATGAAACTAATGCAGAACTTTTTCTAACCTGATATGCCCGTAATTCTAGAAATATGCCCGTAATTCTAGAAATATGCATGGAAGAATTGTCCCTCTCATAATTACAACAATGCAAAATGTTCTAAAATGAAAAAATTGGAGTAGAAATCACAACTATTTCTGCAAATAAATACAAGTAGCTTACCATGCATTAATGTTTTCTTGATATTATTATAATAGCCATTATCAAAAACATCCTAGTTAAAAAATATTTGACCTACAAACAGTTTGTTCACCTAAAAAACAGACACGACTAGACATCTAACCAACATAACAGTGATCGAATGACACCTGAAGAGAATAATTTGGGTTGGCTTGCGTCTATTACAAGAACTATAGAAATCTAGAAGCAATTCCCTGCAATGAGATACCATTCAAATTTTAATCGATTTGATCATATATGTATAAAGAAAAATAATAGAAGAAAAGTATAGTAACAGAATATAGTGTTGAATATCGTTTATTTGTTCGTCACTTATCTACCGCGATAGTATTAATTGCATGATAGAGAACTTTCAGAATAATATAGCATAATAATGGCTTTTGCTTAAAGGTTAAGCATCTTGCCCTATGGCTTTGATTTTGGCTGATATATTTTTGGCATCTCTCATTATATTTTCTTACAATTTGATGTGTACTTTTGTATTGGTCATTCCAAGCTGAAAGTGTTGTGAACACGTTCCAGCTTGCGGGAGGCTATTAAGGATATAGTTAGTTAGTAATTAGGAGGACTTGTCAGTACTTAGTGGATAGGCTTTGATGTAATTGTTTACTTCACTTTTTCTCATATTGTAATAGTTTTCATTATCATCAATACAGAGTTTCACAACCTTCTCTCTATTTTCCCATGGATGCCATGTTTCTTAACATCGCCCTCTAGAACATTTTAAGTCTGTCATTGTTCTCTTAGATAAATGCCAAATAGTTAGGGAAATGTCTGATTCTGTTGAGTCTGATTAGTGAATTGCTTGAAAAGCTGAGACTCGTGCATAAACACTGCCGTAGAGTCTACACTTAAAAAGTTACAAAGTTCTAAATTAATTGCCAAAAGTATTAAATTTTCAGTTTCAGTTTCTCTCATTTTAACCCAAATCTCCGTTTCTATCACGTTATTAGGAGCTTGATAAAGCTCACACCCATGGTTTAAAATTATCATGGTATGTGGAAGATATTGTGAAGAGTCTCACATCGGACAATATATGGCATGAACATGTGTTTATAAGTGGGAGCAATCATTACCTTACAAGCCGGTTTTGTAGGGTTGAGTTAGGCTCAACCCACACATTCAAAGATGGTATCAGAGCCTCATCTAAGATCCATTGGGCCACCCACCATTTAATTCCACGCTCCAGACGCAATTCCTAGGCGTGAGAGGGGGTGTTAAGAGTCTCACATCGAACAATATATGGCTTGAACATGAGTTTATAAGTGGGGGCAATCCTCACCTTACAAGCCGATTTTGTAGGGTTGAGTTAGACCCAAGCCACACATTCTAAGAGATACCATTCTAGTTTCGTACACTAACCTTCAATCTTTTTATCTTTCTCAATAACAGTGCAAATCAATAGAATCAAAGCTCTCGGGAGTTTATATTTCAAGAAACTTGAAATGGGAGATGTAAAATGTATGACAAAATGCTCCTACAAAAAATTCTGATGTGAAACGTTCCTATTTTATTAAATACTATTTCTTTCACTACAAATCCCTAAAGTCATTATATTCCTCTCTGTAGTAATTATGTATTTAGGCCATAACTTCAGTTTTATAAGATTACACTTGTTAGGCCTTCGCAGATCCCATCTAAACTGCATTTGAGTCCAATGTTGCAGTCAAAAGCTATGATTAGATTTATGCTGTTGATTAAGTCTTGTCCTTCTATTTTGTGGCTAAGTGGGTTTCTATTTGTTCATCTTGTTGAATAATGAGAAGGTCGAAGGTAGTAGTACAAAATAGTTATAGTACAAGATGTACAAAATAATCAAACCTGATAATGCCATCATCATTCCCATCATTCAAAGGCTGGTATAGAGCATCAATCATTTCCACCTTAGGTGACTGGGATCTCACGGATGCTCTATACCTCGAAATTAGAGGCCAGCATCGAGATCCAACAACCTACAATCCAAGATGACTAGAATTTGCAGCAGAGATGACCAAAAATACAAAACACGTTGTATTGCAAGGAAAATATAGCACTGTGTTTGATTATTTACAACAAGAAAATAATAGCCTTACAGCTGCTATTGATGGAATATCTGATTGGCCAGGGGAACCATGAGAGACATCCATCCCTAAAATCATTGTTGGGGTATCTTTAATCAAGGGAAGATGCCCAGAATGCTCTATTGCCAGCAAAGAATTTATTCCTCCGAGCTATATTGAGAATATATGTACAAAATTTTCAAAACCATGGATAATATTATCCGGTCAAAATAAGCTAGAGTCTAGATGGTATGCATTTAAATATATAACAGTTGTAAAGTAGTCTTATACTACCTTAGAATTGATTTTAAGAAGCACGTTAGTAAGGTATTGATCAGTTATCTTGAGAGGGGAAATGCACTGTGTGACAACCCCAGCTTCACACAGACACTTCCTTTTCCAAGGCCCTAAATTTGCAAAGAACACTGAGAAAAATATCAACGTAAAGGAAAGACTGGAAAATTTTGCTAAAAGAAATACCATAGATGTCACAGTTTTTCCTCTCTGGCAAGACACAAAGAATCAACTTTGGTTCTCTAGTAAGTTTTGATATCAGTAGGTCAAACATCTTTTCAACCCTTGCAACAGGGTTAAGTTTTCTCGTCTGTGCTTCTTCCTCTATTAAAGTATATGGCCGTTCAATATTCTGTGTAAATACTCAGGTACATGAGACAGTCAATTAAATGAAGAATAAGATGGAAGATACTTAGAACAACGTATAATACATACCATTCCCTTGCTCATTCCACATTTAATCAGCTCTCTCGTTATAAAACTAGTATCACATATTGCAGAAAAGTTGACAACAGCCCAATAATCAATATGTGATGGTTCTAGAAGTGTCTACAAAAAAGGAATATAGAGAACCATCAACCATTGAACCAGTTAATTATATTTGAGATAAGTCTAAGAAACAGGAAGTCTTGAATACTCTCTTAATGTGAAAGAATAATGCAATACCTTTTTTTTAAAGTTCCATCTTCCATTATTGGGAAAGCAGTCTTCATTCTTACCTACCTTCAACTGTGTGTCAAAGAGTATTAGAGTTCACGTAGTTCCCAAAATTAATTGAAACAAACCAACTCATTTACACTGCTCTATCTTTTATCTCTGACTCTCCGGTGCACACAAAAATGTGATTATTGCAGGTTGATGCTAGATGCGTACCTTTGGTGTCTCAAGAACTCGACCATCAACTGGAGTGAATTGTTTGTCAATAGAAATGCCACATGCCGCAAGAACAGTATCATCTTCATAGCAAGAATTTCCTATAGCCTATAAATTTTAATGAGCTTTAATAAATATAATCATTTCAAAAACAGACAAATTAATATCTATCTATAAGACTACAACATACATTTGTCAGAATTTTGATTCTTTCTTGAGGCTTTTGGCGTGATTGTTCTACTAAAGATGCTTTTTGCACAGGAGATAATGCCTTTCTATACCTCTGGAGGGGAACAAGTGTACATAGCTATACCAATAGAATAGAAAAGGAAAGAAAAATAATCAGATGTAATTGATCCAAAAGAAAAGACTGTTACAGCAAAATAATACAATTAGTACAAAATAAGAGTGAGGACATAGTTTGTTCAGGCATAGAATTCAACAAACCTCCAGGGGCAAAAAGATTGGCCGATTTGGCTTCCCAACATCAAGACAAGGAAGGTAAGTAGAAGAGGTCAGCTCAATGTCGTGGTGTTTAGCAAAATAATCATATACTGTAAGATCCACTGTCTGCTCTGTATTATTGTCTTCTCCATTCTTTATCTTCATACTAAAACTGCCAAAGAAATCCAAATTTATGATTTTCCAGTCATGAGGCCCTTAAATTTTTATTCTCCCTCTTTCTGAGATTTAAAGTAAAAAGAATAAACACATTACTTTTGAAAAAGTACTTACAGTTGTTGAATGCAGGGTTTCTCACTGAAGCCAGCAATTTTGAATTCTTGGTTACGATGTGTAGCACGAACTCTTAAATTTTTAAGGATCCTCTTGGCCTGCAGATTACCCAGAAAGAAAAATGCCTTCAGGAAATTACTAATGCTGAGTCATGAACCTTATTTAGCTGTTTGTCACCTTTGCCCAGTTAATATGACGAGTTTCCCTCACATTCTGGTGTGTTAGGAGAAAATCAATTACAGGTCCAGGTTTTACGATCATCGTTGTGGCCACATCTGAAATAAATACATCGAGAACGTAAACGAGAAGAATACAACTTTGTGATGCCGGGATTTCAAGTTAAGTATGAGAGCATTCCTACCCTTATTAAGAGACAATCCTCCTTGTGTAAGACGAAAACTGGAATGAAAACCGCGTACACCAGTTACTCCGCCTCCAACATCAATGATATCCCTCGAGTCACCATGAAAAAAAGATTGCCTTACCAAGAGACACCCTCTTTCCACACAGAAGAAAGGATTCAAGTTCAACTAAGTTAGACCATGTACACAATGACGAAAATTCATGCAGCAAAACTTCAAGATACTTTAATTTTATCTTCATAGAATGTAGGGTTACCTATTGGCTGCTCGCTGCCTCAGTATGATATTAAGCACCCTCAATGCATCTTGAGAATTTGCATATGACTCAATCCCTTTAAGGGAAAGAGCAATGGACTGCAAGGGTATTTTGGCAGCAAAACTTATCTCCACTGTGAATGCCTTTGACTGAAAAGAACACTTTGTCCTTTTATTTTCCTCACAAGGGGTTCCATTAACACCGGGTCTCTCAGTACTACTGCCAGAAATCTAGGCAGTATAAGCCTTAAGACTAGAAAACAACGGAAAACTACAAAAATCATATAAAGAACTTACCCCTTTGGAAATGAAAATGTTTCTTCAAGTAGAACTTTGAACTCAAACTTATTATCTGGAAGAGGACCCACCGTGTACAATGTTCTTTCTCCATCATACACAAAGCTTTTGCCACCAAGTTCAGAGGAGTATGTTTGGTGAAGCCTATCAATCACTTTTCTCCCGAAGCCCTTGCTTTCAACAACTCTTTTATCTTCCGAAGTGATAGTAACCTAGAAAACCTCCGATTAGCGCCAAAGCCAAATAAGGTAAAATTGCAATGACAGAATCAATTGACATACGCTATACTGGAAAAAGATTGCATCTCTAGCCTCAGCTGCAACTTTGAAGAGATTTGTAAGCAAAGGTATGTGTTTTCCTGTGGTACCAACACCGGGCCTACTGATAATAGAAGAGGTTGGGAGAGCTATTTGTTCCGTTTCCATAGTAGGCAGCACATCAGGAGGTGAAACTGGTGCCTCAACAGCTTCTTCAAAGTCGGGTATAGTCACCATCTTCTATCCTTTTTCTACAAATGCAGCTTTAAATCATCAACCAGGAAAAGAAAATGCTATATTTGAAAGCCAAAAATACATATATGTAGGTTAAATTTTCAGGGGATTATTCAGTGACGTGTTACAGTTATATATATTTTCAGAAGAAAAAGAGGTTGGAACTTTTTCCACTAAAAGAGCAAATCAAATGCCAGTTTGATCCAATTGAAACAACACTGCCTAGAAGTTCTCTACAACAACTCATTGTCATTGCTGGAAAAAGTTAGTGTCATCTACCAATTATGATAATCAATAGAAGTAATAACAGAAGAAAATAAGCAGCATTTCTTCAAAGCGCCTCTTAATGGAGATGGCAGATCCTATTTTTAGTGTTGAGAACAGTAGTTGTGTTTTCACTTCCAACCATACATTCCTTGTTACTGATAAATTATGAGTATACTACTACAAAACCAAGTTAACAAAAATGGATTTAAACTAATATAGGTCGGCGACAGTTCCATTTTGAGTTTCAATTAAAGAAATGAAAGAGAAAAAAAACTTAATGTGGGAAAACCTTGATCACCGTATTAAAAAACACCGGATCAGAATGGAGCCCTAATAAACAATAGCAACAGAAAATACTACCAATTTCAACAAACAAAAAAATTACCTTAAATAACATTATCAATATCAAGAGACAAGAACCAAAAAACAAAATTAGAATACAGAGAGGAAACAACAACTAGAAAAACGAAAGAAAAAAACATGTAAACAACAGCTTTGAAAATCAAAGACACGTATATACCTAAAAAAATCAACAAAAATAAATGGATGATGAGTAATGTGAACTATTGAAACTGCAATGGAGGAAAGTAAACAAATGTGTGGGGAATCGGAAATGCAGAAGAATGAGAAAACCCTAAGCTAGCAGAAAATAACAACATGCAAGCAAATGAAAGCTGATTTTCAAAAACCCTGAGTGTAATGTGAAATCAATGAAAACGAAAGCATGAAAGAGGTAGTGATTATTGAGATTTGAGATCAAAGTAAAGGGATGAAGAGAAAGTGTCGTACCGAAATGAGGTTTGGTAGGGTTTTAGGATTTTGGAGATGAAATGCGAAATGGAATGACTATGCGTTGAGGGCACTCTTCATAGTGAATGAGTGTTTGTGTGTGAGAGAGAAGTGAGAGACCTATAAACGAGAGGGAACGAATGGCATGTTGACTTCTCGGCTACACCTTAATCAAAAGGTTCAATAGAAGGAAATTAATTGCTATCAAATTACTTTATTAAATATGTTTTTCTCTTATTTATCGATTAATTGTCGGATTAATCTATTTGGGGGCTTTTGGCTATGTTTGAAGTTGCACGGAGAAGTAGAGCGGAATGGAGTGTAGTAGAGTAGAACGAAGATATTATTTAATTATTTAAAAATTTTATGACGGAATAAAATAAGTGGTTTATTTCACCTAAATTGAAGGTAAAGGAATACCATAATAGCGATAGAATATAATGGAATTTTTACCACTCAATCAGCTCACCATAATAAGCGATAGAATATAATGGAATTTTTACCACTCAATCAGTTCTTTTTTAAATTATTCAAATAATATAATAAAATTCACACAAATTTATTCTGCTCTATTGCATTCATTTTTAAATTATTCAAACAATAAAATATCATTTTATTTTATGTTTGTTTCAGAGTCAGACCAATCCATTTGAAGACAGTTGACTGAAAATTCGATTACATGAGTTCTTAAACAAATTGGTACATTTTAGAAGAAAGAAATTCGAAAGAAAGTATGAAAAAGTTTCTATGAAGGTTTCGATAGATAAAAAGCTAGTAAGAGTTTCTTTTTATCAAGCGTTGTCGAAAGATTCATCTGCGAACCATTGGAAATTAAGTTATTCGGAGCATCATAAGAAAGGATTTTTCGATCGTCACATTGGTTGATTTGGTATTTCAAAAAGAAAGAGATTTTGAATTCGAAAGTTTGATCTTATCCAAAGAGACGCGTGGAAGTTTGATGAGTTCGAAAGACATGCAATTTTCAAACGTGGTATTCTATTATAAAAAGACCGTTAGGGTCAAATTAGTATAAATAGGTGTTGTACCCCAAAATTTGCCCTCCCATTTCCTCAACATTTTCTCATCACAAAACTCTTGAAGTTCAAGATCCAGTTAGGGTTTCATCTGCTCAAGACTCCTCCTTGCACTGCTAACCCCAAATTAGGGTTTGTGTTTGCCCAAGGATGTTTTGACCTAAAATGCCTAAGATGACTTTCATGCTTCATGTTGGACTCCCAAGTTTACCCATGCCAAGTTTCAAGTCTTGATTCCAAGTTTTGCCCAGTCAATTGGGCAGTTGACCTAGAAATCAACTGTATTGGAGAAAAAGTCAACTGTGGCCAATTGACAGTCAAATCTCACGAAATTTGATCCACATCAACATTATGAACTCATATGGACCATTTGATCAAATTTGGATCACAATTCCACAAGAAATTTGATCAGATCACCAAAAGGGCAAAATGGTCATTTTTAGGGTTTTGACTGCACAAAGGCAATTTTTGACTGTTTGACCTAGCCAATGGCAAACCAAGCTCACATATAGCCTCAAGGACTCAATGAAATGGTCTTGACACATTCATCAAGCTCAAAAGATCCCAAGTACACAAGATTGACAGTTGAATTTCCCAGTCAATTGATCAATTTTGACTGTATACTGAAAAGTCAAACTTTGACTTTTTGGTCAAAATCAAGAGTCAAGATTCATTTTTCATCAAAATATATCAAATCATGAAACTTGTTCACCAAGAAATCACAAAATGCAAATTAGGGTTAGAAAATGGAATTTTTCATAACTTAGAATTTTTCTAAGTTATGAAAAACCCTAATTTTTTCCCAACTTTGCCCCACCTTTTCACCAAGATCCATTTGGATTCAAACAAAAGTCAAAACATGAAAGTTGTAGCTTGTTGCATAATCTACAACTTTGATTCACAAAGTTTTCTCATTTGAAGCTTGTATCCCAAGTTACAATTTTTTGAATAAGGGCACTAAACCATTTTTAACTTAGTGAAATTTTAACCTATTTTGACAAGGTTTTCTACCCCACTTCAAGGCCATTTTCCATACCCTTCCAATAGGAATTTCAATTTGCATTTCAAAGATGGATTGTAGTACACATTCCAAGCTTTCCAAAATGTCCAAGAACTCATCAAACAACCTCATAACTTGAGAGATTCGAATTTCACAAGTTGGCAAAAATTCACTTTTGTTCTTCATCAAAACATGTCCATAACTTTGCAAATTTGAACTCAGCATGCTTTAGGTTTGATTACAGGTCCTTGAACCATTCCATACTCAATAATTTAATGCATATTCAATGTGTTAAGGTGTTATTCTTTGAGTGCAAGCATTGTATGCAAGATTAATCCTAAACTAGATAAAGTGAACTTTCCATTTTTGAAAAGATTAACTTTATGTCCAATTGCAAATCAAGAAAGTACATGGAAAATCTGCTTGGCACAAGATTATGTGCATAACACATTGATCAAGAGAGGATTATGCAGCACATTAGGGGGTCCTCTACTGACCTAGAAAACCAACTTGCTTTTGTTTGCTTCAAGTTCAAGAAAAGTCCATAACTTGTACCAACTCTCTCTTCAGCTTAGAAACACAACACAAAAGCTATCAAACACATTCCAAAGAACATATCCAAGCTTTGGCACGAGTCATTGACCTTTCAAACACCCTCCATCTCAGAATCATCCTCAAACTGCAAAAACAAGAGTTGCCTCTGCAGTTTGAGTGCAAACTCCCATTTCCCTCGAGCATTCTTACCAAAATCAATCCATACACATTCCCTAGCATATATGCAAGCTAACCATGACCTAAAACCTGACCTGTAATCTCTCTAACAGTTTCCACCATTTTCATTTTTTCCTCTTGCAGTTGAAGTTCCACAGCTCGATACAAGAAATTTCAAGACAAAGTAAGCACTGAAAAAGCATCCCTGGACCTCAAAGAAGCTTTTCCAATCATTACCTTGCACTAGAAGTTCCTCATTCTCCAGATAGAAGTTCAACTGCACAGGTAAAACTTTGAACTCGTATCTCTCTTATCATGCATCTTTAGTCTTAAGTTTGTGAAGAAACAAGGTTCTACTCATAGCCCTGAACATGTACATATCTTTACATTTCATTTCTTTTGCCTGAGTAGAGAGAATTTGGAGTTTGAAAATGGCAGAAAAATTAGGTTAGGATTTGGGGGAGGAGAAATTCTCCCTCATCTCAGAGAGTTAGGTCAAGTTCCATACATGGTTAGAACCGTCTCTTCATGCTGAACATTTGTTGTGTTATGAGTTTTTGCTGAAAAGCCAGGAATCGAGAGTTGGACATTGAAGAACAGGGGCGTGCGTTTTTTTGAATTTTGTTGCTGGAGGTTGAAGACAGTGTTCCTTGGGCTGGGCCTGTATATTTTTTCTTATTCACACCACACATTTGCTATTACACCCCCTGAGCCCATTTGCTTTATTTTTATTCTTTTTTGACTTTTTCTTTTTTGATTGACTTTGTTTATTTTTTCTCATGACATTAAAAAAATAAAAATATTTTTTCCATCATTTTTTGAATATATGGCATATTTATTTGATTTATTTCTTTGTTTGTATATAAATATTATATATATACTATTATTAGAATAAATAGAAAAATAGTGTAAATACATTTTTATTTTTATTTACCTTCTGAAAATATTTCACATAAAAATACTCTTTTTATTTATTTTATTAAAATATTAAATAAATATTATTTTGTGTATAATACATATTTAAGACTTAATATATATATATATATATATATATATATATATATATATATATATATATATATATATATATATATATATATATATATATATATATATATATATATATATATATATATATATATATATGTTTATCAATATATTTAAGTAAAAATATAAAAATACTTGAATTTTTCATTTCTATT